CCGAGAATATCCTTGGTTGATCCAATGACATGCTTTGCTTATGGGTCCACCATTATTCCCTTTTAGGGAAAGGTTCCTAAGATGTTGGATTGTTTTGGGGTAGCTTTTCTGCCTTCTGCGATCCAAGCTTAATTTCCCTCTTCACACTCCTCACCAGTGACAGTGCCCTGCTCTCACTTGTTCCTCTCCTGTGCTAAGCACTCCTTATAATGGCTGAAATACTGTTTTGGGCTTTAAGCTTAAGAAAAAGCAAGCAAGGAAAACTTGTAGTAGCAGTAGCAGCTTGTGATCCTGGGTTAGCTTGAACTTAACTCTGAGCAGTTACCATGAAAGTCCAAACCCTTTCACAGTGTTAGGAGGAAAAAGGTTCCACATCCTGGAGCAACTTTGGCTACTCCAGGCATAGGAGGTGCARTATCTGAATGCATTCATACAACTTACTTAACATCACCCTCTCTCTCAATCTCCAACAATTTGACATCAGGCTGAAGCACCTGATAACACACACTTCTTCAGGACAGAATCAYACTGTGTACTTCAAATCATGCTGAAATAGCAGCCAAAGCCAAATAACCTTGCTCCAAGTGAAAGCACAGATTCCCATCAGCRAAGCTCCACTGTGATCCCAGGCTACTCCCTGTCCTGCCCATCGCTCGTGTTATCTCAGGCTGCTGACTCCACTTTCCATCCATTATAGCTCTTATTCTACATTCCCTTTTGGCATAAAGCATTTCATCATCTCCATTTTCTGCTGAGGTAATACCTTTCCTAAGCCTGGGCAACAACAACAGCCCAGGTTGTGAAAAAAAGGGTTCAYATAGAGCGCCTCTGCATCTGCTGTGTTGCTGGACCAGGCTGAAAGCCACAAAGGTGACGGCTTCACCCAGACGCTTCCAGTAAATATCTCACTTGGAACAATCTTTACAAATTGTGGATATGCCACCTGTGTTTTCTCAGAGTTATGATCCACGTCACTGCTTGGTGTGAAATCGTCAGGCTGAAGTGRCACCACAAGGCTCACATTCCTGTTTACAGGAATGCTCTGCCAAAAGGTGAGTTTGGATCCAGGCATGCATTTCCCTTCAGAGTGAGGTTTCCTGGTATGAGATTCAGGTTCATCCCAAGTTCACATTTTTTCAGTTTAAATCTTTTYAAAAAAGCACTTCACAAAGACCTCAAACCCTCAAATTACAGCCCTTAGTAGGAACCAGCTAAAGCAGCACATAACYAAGAACCCAAATGAGTCTGTTAATTCCCCTTTCCCATTCTGGCTTCAATCCCTTGAGCTGGAACATCAAACCACGATCCACACATGAATAATGCAGCTGCTGTTTAAGAGTTGATTCAACAACAGAAATTTATATCCTCTCTTCATGTCAAATATTTATAGGAATATTCCTGACCACCTTGCTTTGAAGTCACTGAAATGCAGAGGGGTACATGATACAATTGTAGGAAGCTCTTCMTCCAGAGGAGCACTTCCAGAAGGCCACTCTAATTGTGCACAAGCCACAATCCCAATAAATCTTTCTGTCCTCAGGGGACAGCASGATGAAGAGATGTTCTAACCACATCCATTATTTTTCTCTATTCACACTCCTTGCAAAGCCTGTAGCAGCTGTAAACATCCAAAATCACCCTGCAGCAGTCCTCTGCTGCCCAGCTGAGCGCTGGATTTAGATCACTTTTATGTGCAGGAACGAGCTGTAACAGATCCTGCGCTCTGAATCACTATATAAATATTTAAGTAAACAACAGGTCACTCAAGTGTTTTCTTTACCAGTGCATGAAACAACATGATGGTCCATCACATGCTGGGATGCAATCCCAGTGCACAGAACTGGCGTGGGGATCTTTGTCCCGTGGGCCTGCTTGAAGCTTCTGCTTCATGAGTGACAGAGAAGGCCCTGGCACTGCCCCTGGAAGTTGAAAGGTGCAGTTTGCACCACCCCCTCAGGCCAGGGATGAGACACACCTCTCCCAGCCCTCAGAAGGTGAGGATAGGATATGTGACTGCTGCATGAGCCAGTGACTCAATGCATGAGCCTTGATGGTTTGGTTCTCTGTCGCTGACCTCATGCAACCTGCTCTGTCCTTCCTCAGCCTCAGATTTCTAYACTGGCTGCCCCACTCTCATTTGTGATTTTCCATTTTCCTGGCATAACCTTGAATTAAGACTGGTCTTTTGGCCTTCAAGTGCTTTGTCTAAATGGACTGTGTGAACCAGCACCTGCCCAGATAAAACCCTCAGATTCCTGGGCCGGTATTTCTATATTTGCTTTTCTCAATGCACCACGCACAGCACAATCCTTAAAACCATCCTTCCTGGTGTTTCACACACTGGCTGTAGTGACATATCAGACTAGCTGGGCAGCAGCTTGGAAAAGCATCTCTGGCTGCTCTCAATCTCCTCTCTGTAAATGTCACTTAATTGTCTAAGAAAAATTTGGCTGCCCTTTCAATTACTGGTAATGGAATAAAAGCAATAAAAGACTGTTCRTGACAGCAAGTGTCACCAGCACCCATTCGTCGCCTTCTCCTGCTGATTGGGAGGCCAGAGAGAATTCATGCTTCACTCAGGGCTGCATTTCTGGCACAGTGCTGATAAAGGAACTCGCTGGTAAAAGGCCAGGAACCAGGAAAAGAAAGGAATTGTCTCTCATCCCTCCCTGTCCTGACKCCATAAACAACTCCAGAAAGAGGATTTCTGGGTATCTGGGAGAGAAAAAGGCCTTCTATTCTGAGGGCTTTTGTGGAGCTCCAGGGTCTGTAGTATCTGCTTTCACGGGTGAACACTGCTCTCAGCCAAACTCTTCCTAACATCTGTCAGAGCTGGTGGGATAGTTGAACCTCTTTGCAGATAAAGGACAARGTAAATGGACAAATCCCCCCTCCTGTGCAGAAAGCTCAGGATGGGGTTTGCACAGTTCACTCACACACATTCTGGCTCAYGGCTCTTCCACTGAACTCAGCTCCAGCTCAGACACTGGGTCTTTGCCTGTTGTGTTTGGTACYGGCTAAGAAAGACACTTGAATGGATGTTATAGCACAACAATCTCAAATAAGAACTCCACAGTTTGTAAATTAGCTGTTAGCAGCTCTCATAAACMCTTCCCCAAACCCTCCTCCAGCAGCAGAAATAGCTCTTCACTCTCTAAACTGCCAGGCTATTGATTAAGAACAGAAAGGCTTAGTTGGCAAACTCCTGGTGCCTGACTCATWATGAAGAGCTCTGTCTCAGCTCCCTTTGAGCAGGAAGAGGACAGCAAATGCTCATCAAGTTTCTCACTTCCTTCCCAGTTACAGCTTGGATTCTTRAAAAACAGAAACCTTCTTGGCAGAAGAAGCTGTTACTGAGACCATTTCTTATCTTATATCTTCCACCCAAAAAAAAAGGTTATTTACATATTGCGTGTCCTTCCTGTTGTGGAAAGTTGGAGTCGATCCCATACTTTCCAAAACTCTTCTAGCAGGTTCAAGCCCTGATAGCCTATTTTCAATATGTACACTGAAATGAGTTAAAAATTAATTACTGCATTGAGAAACTATCCCTCTAAATTCAGTGACCCAACCMCAGCAGTCATTTTTAAATGAACCAGCAGAGCCAGGATATTACGAACTGCTGTAGGAAGATGTTCTCCTAGTTCCTTTCCCTTCACAATGAGTCTGTGATTATTGCTAAAGCTGTTCCAGCTTTCTGGATACTCTCCAATGAGACCTTTTTTTGTGTATTCTTTACTCTTATAAACTAATTTTTGCATTACCTGCATTATCAGGCAGTTCTTTCTTACACAGTCTCGAATAAAGCACCAAAATAAGTGGAATAAAAATATAATCATGCATGGCAATATATCTCCTGCTCTTTCACACCTACTCCCACACTCAGATAACCAGTCACACACAAACACCCACACCATGAGTGTTCATCTCCTCTTCCTTCCTTCTGGCTTGTCAGAGACTGAAATAGTCATGTGGTGGTTTCCACCATTCATGCGACAACGTCACTGTGTGGGTCAGTTAAAAGGCCTCAAACACCAGGAAGATGGGTAGATGAGAAAACCAGTCATTCCATAATGATAACAAGTTCTACATTTTGAATCTTGCTTGGAATAAAAGGTATCTTGGAGGGCAMACAAACATCTGGAACAAGCATCACCTGGCTGCGACAGAATGTTCCTATTAACTGTGTCCTCTACAGGCTAATTGCTTCAGTTATTGAAGCCTCCCAACTCTCTCKAATTCTAGGTAATGTTTTGTTTCATAAGCAATTTGCCATGTTTATTCAKTTCCCTATCTAGCTTATTTRCACTTGCCAAGAATGAACAGGAGGSAACATTTGAATGGTCACATAAACCCTTAAGAGAATTAATTACTTTTATACAGGATCTAATTCATGTAGGAAAAATGGAGGTTTGGGATTTTTTTTTCCCCTGTATCATACTGTCTAAATCAGTCAGTGCACACACACACATTGTACCTAATGAAATTCATTGAATAAAAAATATTCAGTTGGCACATCCAAGCATGGTCTCTTAGCTGACTAAAAAAAACTAATCTGATACGTGCCAGTGTGAAAAATGAAATACAAGGAAAAGGTTTATGCAAAACTAGTTGTGTCTGAGTATAATTAAAGTAGGAAAAACCCAAAATAGAACCATTTTATACACTACAATTGCCAACTACAATGCAATATTTGCAATTTCTATAAATAATTATTTCAAAAGCACAAGGGTATGTGAATATCCAACAATTCTTTAAATATCCAAACAACCATCATCATGACRAAATTATTAGCCTTACATAATTTTCATCATGAGCTGGCAAATGCATGGCCAAAGGYTGAAATAAAGCCCATTAATTGACCCCATCGGTCGCCACATTCCTTTTCTCCAGGTCATTATTGATTARCATGAATATGTGTATGAACCTGTAGCCAACAAAAGGCATCCCAAAGGCCTACCTGGCCCTTGGCAAGGACAAATGCTTCATCACCGAAGTACCTGGAAACACGAGGCTCCATTTCACAGGCTACACAGGCATCCGGGGAAAGTCAGGAGTTATCGGCTCTTTRAAAGCCAAGGCTCTGAGAGTCKGGAACACAAGTTTTGCTAATTTCAKTAATTAACTGAGTCACGTGGGAAGCAGCAGGCTGGTGTTTTGCAGCGCCTCAGAGGGATGGAGGAACGCAGGAAGATGCAGCTGTCAGAAGCTTGGAGCAGGCAGGTGACTCGSAYCGGGAAATGACTCCTCGGTCACCCRTGGGAATGCCGCCAGATCATCCACCGCACACACACCTCCAGGAAGATGCACTGCTGCCAGCTCGGGCCATCATAAAACATGACAAGGCCAACAACGGCATTAATTGTAGTGTGTATCCAGCAGAATCAATGTGTTTTGGTTTGTAGCGTGTCTTGCTTGGGGTGGCTGGAGGTGGGCGCGGAGCTGTCGCAGCCTCACCACTGTCGGAATAATCATTCTTGGCACGCCCACCCAGCAACTTTTCCACTGTTTGCTGGGGTTTCCCAAGCTTCTGCTTCTAAATGTAACAGCAAAACTTTGCATTTATTTTTGCGGATAAATCTTCTAAGTGTAACCTATGGATGATGTGCTGGGGTGTGACAGCATGAAGCGGGGTGCACCCATTTCACAGGGTGTACCCTTTGCCCAGGTACAAAGAGGGGATTTAGGAGCAAGTTCTTGAACCAGGGCGTTTCTTGTTTTACAAGCCGCAGAAACGCACAGTGTTTGTTTGGACACGAGGTTTCCACGCCGTCCAGTACGGCTCGTTTAGAGCTGAACCCCTTCACCGCCTCAGTGGGGCGAGAAAGGGCTCCACACAGGCAGGTAACACGAGGCAACCTCCAGGCAAAGCAGGGGACGGAAAAGCAGCACCCAATCGGTTTTTCCGTATTTAAAATCCCAGGCAGCACGGCTGTCAGCGGGAGAGGCTGAGAGCGACCCAGCACCGTGGGTGCCTCCCACGACAGCATGCGAGGAACAAGGTTTCCCCTCAGCGCGGGGTCACCATGAGCACATGGCTTCCCCACAGCGCTGGGTTAGCGGGCAGTGGCGAGAGGAGGCAGCACAGCGAGGGACAGCAGCACAGCGAGGAACAGCAGCCCGGATCCGCTGCCGCCGGGGAACCCCTCAGGGAGGGCGAGGGCCGGGGGGGCGTGAGGGGTGAGGGGCCCGGCCCCGCCCCTCCCCTGGCCCCGCCCCGGCCCCGCCCCCGCCCCTGTTTACCCACAGGCTGTGCACGTGGTGGCTGCGCCGCGCCATTGGCCCGCGCGCCGGGGCCCTGCCGCCGCCCCGCCAATCGCCGCGCTGTCCACGCGCACCCGCCCGCGCCCGATTGGCCCCGCCGCGGCGATCACGCAGCGTGACGCACTCCGGGCGTGCGCCCGCCGAGCGGCCAATGAGGCGGGGGCGCAGGGGCGGCCCGCGGCGAATGGTGGCGCGCCGGGCYGCGGGGCGGCCAATGGGCAGCGGGCGGGGGCGGGACGCGGAGCCGCGGGCGCTGGCGGAGACGGGCGGGTTTAAAGCGCTCGGCGAGGGCGGGCGCGGTTCCCCCGCGCCAGGGGAGCGATGGCGGCGGCCGGGCCGGGGCCCGGGGCCGGCGGCGCGGTGAAGACGCTGGCCCTGGTGCTGGAGGACGAGGCCCGGCGCGGCGGAGGCGGCGGCGGCGGCTACTGCAGCGGGGACACGGTGTCCGGGCAGGTGCTGCTGGAGCTGGCGGGGCCGCTGCCGCTCCGCGGGTTGCGCCTGGAGGCCGCGGGCCGGGCGCGCGTCGCTTGGAGCGAGAGCCCCGGCGCGGTGCCCGGGGCGGGCACATGGGGGGTGGCGGTCCGGGCGCCGGGGCCGGGGCCGCGGCGGGAGGCGGAGGTGCGGTACCTGGACATCCGACAGAGCCTCCTGCGGGACCCGCCCGAAGGTGAGGCGGCACGGGGGGGTTGGGAGGGGGGCGCGGGCCCGGCCGCTCCCGCAGCCGCGGCGGGGGTGGGACCGGGGGAGTGGCGCTGCGGGGCTGCGGGAAGGCGCCCACGGCCGGCAGCCACGGGGAACGCTCCGGGTGGAGGTGGGCACCGGGACCCGCAGAGATGGGCACCGAGCGCGGTTGCCGAGGCCCCGCAGGACAGCGCTGCCACAGCGTTCACCCTTGGGCCCAGGGGAGAGCTGCCAGTGCTCCTCGTAGGGTGAGTGACAAATGCGGGWCGGAGCAGGAATAAAACCCGCAGGTCGATTCCCTACGCTGTGTTGGTTTCCTGCAGAGGTTCGGCCCTCGGGCCCCTCCGCGCTCGTTGTGCTGTATAAGCAGCTGCTGGGAAGCTCTCGTGGAAGAGCCTGGAAGCAGTCAGGCTCATCCGATGGATTGAGGAAGCTCGCTGTTGCAGAGCTCTGTCACTCAGACACTGCAGTACTATGGCAGCGTTGAAAAATTAAAGATAGAACAACGGCATTGTGTTCTGTATGGGTGAAACGCAGTTCAGGCTGATCTGTAGGGAAAGTAGATTTAGGCCTTGAAAATTGTGTAACAGCAGGGCCCTGTATGAATATACTGGGATCTTGTACATTTACAATATTTCTTCATGCTGATCTTAAAATGCAGTTATTTTAGCACAGAAATTTGTTAGTTGGAAAAGTAGATTAACTGCTGTCCCACTGAAAAGAAACTTACTTTATGCTTTGCAGAAGCCATTTTGGATTAGAAATTGGCCAGAGTCCTGAACTGAATCTCAAGGTCTCCCRTGTTTCCTTGATTTTTGTTTTTCATTGAAATCACATCACAGCATAAATAAAGCACGGGCTGCAGTCCAGAACCCACTGGGATCAATAAAAACTTCTTGCATCTGGGTGTTTTTGTACATAAATAATTGATAAAAGTGGTTGCTTTGTTCTATTTMTGGAATAACTAAAACATACTATCCATTCTTATCCTACAGGTGAGGAAAACTTAATTCTTCTAGATGGAAGACACGAATTTCCGTTCAGCTTTCAGCTCCCTCAAGAGTAAGTTAAATAATCCAACCTGAAGGGATTGTGCTGGATRYTGCTTGTAGTGGAACATTACCTTAATGTAATTTGACTTGTGTTTTTTTTTTAGTATCAGCTTTATATATTTGTCTTAATCAAGTGCCACATAGACAGGCCTTGTTTGCTTCAGCTTCCCCAAGGCCCTAATAGTACAAGCTGTAAATTGGTAAATGTTTATGTACACAGGAAGTGTTAATGTTTGGAGCTGAATTATTAATTGATGGTAATGGTTTTATGACTGCTTGTTTCAGACCTCTGGTGACCTCTTTTACTGGGAAGTATGGCAGCATTCAGTACTATGTGAAAGCAGTTCTGGAGAGGCCTGCAGTACCTGACCAGAGCGTGCAGACAGAGCTGCAGGTCATCAGCCATATCGACGTCAGCTCACCAGCTCTCTTGGTAAGAGGGTCCCCCACTCTTCCTCCCCCCTGGAAAGCCAGCTGCAAATAACCCATTTCCAAACAGCATTCACATCCAGTCATAACYGTTCCCATGTTATTCCAGAGCGTCATTTTCTGACTTCTGAAAGCATATAAGCTCCCTAAGCTTTYCTCTATAAATAGATGATCTTAGGTTGTGTGAATAGCAAACAGAGTGGCTTTTTTAATACCATTGATTATATCCCTGCTGGCAGAGATGTTCCTGCCAAAAAGTTAGGCAGGCTTCAGATGCACAAATAAGGYTTAATAATAGTAATGCACGAGCGCAGAGTAGTTACTCTTACCAGAGCTACTACATTCACAGGGCTGCAGTGTCCTAAACTCTACAATAATAGTAGGTTGAGGAACAGTAATTAGAGAAGAGTATTAATCATGCCCAGCCTGTCATTTAGGCTCTGGCCATTATGTTACGTATCCCTGCATTTTGCATGTCGTTTTCTAACATGAAGTGTGTGCACGCAGCTGCTCCAGAGATCCTTTCAGTTATTTCCCCATGACAGATTTGGCCACATTAAGGCATTGAGTTTTTAATAATCACTGGAAATACTGTAGAGTAATAAGAAAGATCAGGCATTAAGTAATGAGAAAATAGGCAAGATGGAAGCTAATGAGCTGGATTCTTTTATCTCAACCCATATTATGAAAATAATATAAAATTATACCTTGCAGTTTCATGATAGCAACTGGATCTAAATGGTTATTCATTTGAATATGAATGAGTAATTTCTATTTTATTTGAAATGGTAGGATAATTTTAACATCATGACGTGAACGCAGCTAAGAAATGTTTTGAGAGGGCTTTTTTTCCCCCTCATTACATGCTTACATTTTAATCCATCCTAGAGAGAACTTAGGGTATTTTGGCAGTGACATCTGTAAGCRGAATAGTCTTTATATTCAGTAGTTAGGAATTTGAAGGCATCATACCCAGATTCTATAAGGACAGAGCAGACCATAGGTTATTGCACAGGAGAGGCCTGTGGGGCACATCAGGAAGGCAGTGTCAGCCTTAATAGATTCCAAGTCTACCACCAAAAGTGCAAAACAACGGGGTTTTTTTCATTATCATAAAATACAAAACGAATTTTCATTGTGATGCTGACTTGGTGCTACTGCCCAGTAAAGCCTTTCAAGTAGTTTTGATCCTTGCTTGGACCCTTGACATGTGTGCTTGTAAATTTATTCTGATGAAAACATTACAGGCAGTATGAATATCCTAGAATGTGACAGTTCTTGAATAAATAAGATGTTTTTTGTCATGCCCCTAAATTTCTGGGGGGTTGTGTGGCTGGCAAGTAATGAAGGTGCATCCCCTTAGCCCAGAGTATATATATATTTATCCTTTCTTAAAGATAGAAAAGTAAAAACTATTTACTTGTTTAACTGTTAGTTGTTTACAGATGAAATTAATTCTTCTTTCTTCTGCACTGAGGAACATGGGGATGAACACCACAATACTCCATGAGACCCTTAAAAAGTTCTTTTTGAAGACAAATCACATCCAAAGACACACTGGTGCTACTTAGTCAATACAGTCTAAATGCAGACTGGGATTTCAAAACAGAAATGTTGTGATTGCCAAACCTTGATTCCATTGCACATGGTGGCAAAACTACAAGTGCACTGAGCAGTTCAGGATCCAGATCAAGTGGATTTTAGAGCTGGATTGCAATGACTGATATGCATAACACTAAACTGCAAGTGATTAAGAGCTTTATCCCATAAAATGAAAAATACTCTGTATTTTATAGACACCTGTTCTAAGAAGTCAGGAGAAGATGGTTGGCTGTTGGTTTTTCACCTCTGGGCCAGTGTCTCTCAGTGCCAAAATTGAGAGGAAGGGATACTGTAATGGTAAGAGCAGTTACCTTAAAAATGTAA